TCACTAGGAGGGCATTCCAGAATCTGGAGGCTAACAGTGCAAAGGTCCACTCTTGGGATCCCACGTACACCTATAATGGAATAGTGCATACAGAAAACCCTCTGAAGCTTTTCTTAGGGCATTGGTTGGTCTGGTTAGGAGTCTACCAGGCTGTAAGGTAGATTGGGAAGCCAAAAAAAGATTCCAGAAGGCAGCAACCACTTCTAAGTGTTGCCAAGAAAACAATATGAATGTGTCCATGAAGTCACCAGGAGTCAACCTCAACTTGTAGAAGACTTTATCTTAGGGGAAGGAACATATAGGAAGAGACTACTGTGTTAGGATATCAGGTATTATATATTATATACACCTGAATCAAACAAGTCTTGCATGACCTTAATGGTAACATTTGATTTGTTTAACAAAGCAAACATTTTATTTTTTCAGATTAATAAACCCAGAAATTGTGCTAACTGTTCCACTTTATTATATTACATACAGTACTGCAATTTGTAACCCTTGCTCATTATCCATCAGTTATATTTTTATGTGGATAAAGAAAATAGTTGTATGATGTTCTCTTATGAGAACTTCTGTAGGAACTGATTTAAATACACTCAACTGGTTGGTGATGTTTCTACATCTGGATCTAATGGTCCTCATGAAGGTAGACCATAGCTTTGTTACATTCATCTTCTAGCTGAATAACCCATTTTCACATCTTGTAAGATGCTTGATTGCTCAGACTTTGTCATTCAGAACATTTTCTGGGTTGTTCATTCTGTGTGATTATAGTGGCTAAGCTTCTATTATGCACTGAGTAGATTTTGTTTAGCCATTGTGTTATGAGAGATGTTTGGGGGTTTAATTAAAAATATTTCCATATTATAGCACGAAATTTTATTAGGCATGGTTACAAAACAGTGGATTTTTCTAGATGTGATGTCCAGTTGCTATCTCTTATGGCCATATGGTAAAGGATACCATTATTATCCTCAAGGATTCAACAACAACGAGGCTTACATAAAATGTAATGTTTCCAATGTTGTAATTCTCCAATACAGGGCAGTACTATCATGCTAGAAGCTCTGTCACATACAGATAGTCCTCAGTTAATAACAGTAATTGGGACCAGAATTTCTGTTGCTAAGTGATGCGAGCATTAAGTGTGACATCATGTAACCACATCACTTAGCGACAGCAATCCCAGCAGTCCCTGTTGCCATTGTTAACTGAATCCCACCAGGTATTAGGCGAGGATCCACTCTGATCCAAGCCATTCCCAGCTTGGTCCCTCCCAGCCCTAAGCCTCGGTAAGGTAAGGGACTGCCTACTCTGCCTCCTTTTGAACTCCCCCCACCCGCCTATCTCCCCATCTCCGTACTTTTGGGCACCCTGCATAGTGGCACTCCTTGGTGGCGGTGGCAGTGGGGTTGAAGTAGAGGCCTGGGGTTTTCAGCAGTCTCAGCCAGCTGCTACTGCCCGAGCCTCTACTTCAGTCCCAGCACCACTGGTGCTGCCACTGCTGCCAAGGAGTACTGCCTCAAGCTCTGCGCCATGGCCACCCACTCCAGCACCACAGAGCAAACCCCAACTGCTCCCACCACCCTGTGCTCTGCCAACCCTGCTGTGTCCAGCTGACCTTTGCCATCTTCTTCCTCCCGCTGTTGACAAGGTGTGCCCAGCCTGGCCCTATGTGAAGCAGCTGCTGGCTGTGCCAGGCCTTCTTCCCGAGGCTGCACATGCTTCTCTCCAAATTGCATGCAACCTTCTCACAATGCTTTGGAAGGCTTCTGAGGCCTTCTGAAACCTCACGAGAAGGTCAAGCCCACCTTTCTCCAAATTGTGCGTGGCTTTCAGGTGCTGCCTCAGAAGCCTTCCAAAGCATTGTGAGAAGGCCATGCGTGATTTGGAGAATGGCATGTGTGGCCTCATTAAGGGTCAGGCAAAATTTTTACTGCACTGGATAAGGCAGGGACATGACTGAATATGTAAAATCCTATGATGTTTGCCAGACATTGGGGAACAGTAAGGGCAAGGTGAAGGGTCCTTTACAGTTGCTATAGTCAGATAAATCATAATTGTTAAACTAAAAATCCATGCCACAAATATTACAAAATATAGACTTTACTGTATGACCCAAACTATTTCCTGTTCGTAGCAATGACTTTTGGCAGACCACAGGGCCACACTCACTTTTCCCATGCCCAAATTTTCAGTTAGTGGAACACTGGGACATTGCTCCTTTGCTGTAATTAACGTTATATGACAGATAATTCTTAACTCTATAAGGTTTGTGTGGCATGACACAATAGTTGTATATGTGAGTGTTCTTGCCCACCCAATTGTGTGATTCCAGAAGGATTCCAAAACAATTATTGTAGCCTTTCATTAAAAAAAATGCTTGTCCAGTCCAGTTACAGGTCATCACTGCCACAGGACTCTGGCTCTGCTAATAAGTTTCAATGCATGAGCCAAACAGTTGATTTTCATCTTAAATCAGCTAAAATATAAAATACAATTACGCTGACCCAATAATCCATCAGGAACATACAAAGTGAAAGCTGCATTGTGTGAGGGCTTGCAAGAGATTTGCAATCTTTTCAATGTTACAATGGCAGGCTCACAAGAGATTGTAGTAAACAACATCCTGTAGGGATTCTGTTCTGCTGTGGTTTTCCATTTCTGCTTAGGCAGCAAAGCCAATTTACTGAAAAAGGTTAACTAAATTCCACACTCATGGAACTGTGAAAAAGCCAGAGCTCAAGAGATTAAAACTGCTAAAATTACTACAGTATGTACAATCTTTCAAGCTGCTGAATCTCCCAAAACCCAGTCACAGAAATTGGTTCTCAAACACAATAAAAAAATACACTCTGCTTATGACAACAGCCCATCTGAAGCATTTAACGTAATAATTAATCACAGATGAACTGGCCTTTTATTTCTTCTTTAACCTTTTGGAATCCATTCTCTCCATCTGATATCAAGCTATACCATGAGAATAATCTGGGTTTACCTGTTAAACTAATTACATTTCCTATGGTCTTTATGCAACTCTAAATTAAGCTCCCATTAAAACACCCTATTTTAAGTAAGATCTTTTTTTCTTGAGAATGCTGAAATACATTTTCAGCAACTATTAATTCTACTGTGTTCACATAAGCTATATAATTTGTTCTAAAAATGCAAACCTGCTGGAAAACTTTTCAAGAAGCCAAACAACTGGCTAAACAAAAGCAATGCTGGGGCTGAAACTGAAATGTATTTGTATGAAAATGTACATGCCAATAAATCCTGGGAAATACTATGACTGTAAAAATCCATAATCTGGTAGGTGCTATGCTAGATTATCATTATCTACAGACCTAATTTTAAGTGCTTAAAGTGGCTTTTAAAACTGTAAAAGAATTGGATCCAGGTTATAGATATGCACCCATGCTGATAACACAGGAAACCATTTATAAAAATCCTATTTGTAAAAACAAATAACACACATTGTAGTAGCCCCCTGCATGTGTAAGTGCAGTTATATCTGTGGCTGCCCCATCATTACACCTTCAAGTAATCTCTAAAGATTCACCAATTTACCTTGGCCTATAATTGAAATTAGAACTATAGTAGGGCTTTGGTATACATGTTCCTATTTGATTTATTTATCAATCTTCCACTTATACATTGCTTTATTTTTATTTTATTTTATTGCTTGTGTGGCTGTTTTGTTGAATGCCACTATAAGAGGTTTTTTTAATCTCCAAAAGACACTTTATAACTACTCTAAATAAATAAACAAAAATATAAGTTACTGTGGGCTGTTATCTGCCTGCTTCTCTATTACAGTGCTTTGGATTATTTCTATTCATACGAAATATTTATATTCCCAAAATTTGTTCCTAGGAAAGCCAAGGAAGTATTCATGTTTCATAAAATACTTTCAACAAATTAGATTATATTAAGAAAATAAAACTCAGAGGAAAAAAAAAGGACTAAAGAAAAGTCCCTATTCCTGAATTAGGTTGAGAACTGGCATGGTATGTCATAAATATGTTTAAAAAAACTTGAGGAAAAGTATTTATGAACGTGTGAATTAAGGAACAGAGTAGGCAATGTGGGGCTAGATACACAAATAGTTTAATCTACTAAAAGTATCTTCTTACAGAGTAGGGAATCCAACAGAAATCCTTTGGACTTAACTAATGAGCTACATATTTCAATTCCTTACCAACATTTTATTGGTTTAAATACTTTCTGTAGACCCATGGAAATCAAAACTAGGAAGATTGCATTCCAACTAACAATATTTGCCAAAAACTGGATCAGCAGATCTTCACAACAATTACAGAAAAATATATTGTAGATGGAAAGTACAGGTAACCACTAAAAATGCATTTTGTCAGGGCAATATTCTGTCTTGCTCAGCAGATGGTAGCACATTTTTAAACAGCACTGCATTTTAGCAATTGAAGAAAAGCTCAGTTAAGACTGAAAGGATTTTTTTTTTTGAGCCAAACCAAAGAGCTCTCAAAGGACATTAACACTGGGATTTGCGAAAGGAAATAGAGTCTACATTAATACAAGAGTGGAACCATCATCCTTACTTCATTCAATATTCAAATGTTACTTAAAAAAACATGGCCATGTTAAATTAGGCTGAAGACCTATCAAATCCAGGATCCAAATAATTACTTTAGATATGCTCAAGTTGTAGATATATCTAGTAGTGTTCCTGATTTCTTTTTCTTTTTCCTTTGAACAGGATATCTTTACCTATTACCACAATCTGCTTTGAAAGTCTCCTCATTTTCAAAAAGAATCTGATAGGTGGCATGGGACAACTATTTGGGAAAGATAAGCCCTTATTCTTCAGTTACTGAATACCAGTCAACTTATAGACAACAGAGTAGAGAGCGGTTCTCCCTTTTTGATCAAGCAAGGCAGGAAAGTCTGAGAATATACACATATGTCATAATTGTATTGAAAAATCAAATATCAAACTGAATTCTAATAATGTTTTATCTTACCTTATATCGCATTTTAGGGCATGAATGAATATAAAACCCCATGTAATAATAGCTTAGATCAGAGGCCTTTTCATGAAGTTGCCTGGTAAAAGCAATTTCCCTGTAAAACAAAAATAAACCAAAATGGATAAAAATGTAATACCAGATAAATTGTGTTCACAGATACAAATAGATCAATAATGAGCATACATATAATAAAGTAAAATGACCTAAAATTTAGTTTATGTTAAGAACTTATTACATTTAAGTGAGGAATGAGAATAATAAATGCAGAGACAGTTCTACATAAAAGCCCCAAATCTTTTACTTAAAATAACCAATTCTGCATTTTGTCCTGGCAAGATGCTGATCTGAAACTCAAATGTTAAATGAATGGGAAACTTTTACAAGCTTAAAAAATAATAAAATAATAATAAGAGTTACTTTTATTCATACAACTGTGGGTGTCTAATCCAGTCCTTGTATTCAGGGAGATTTAAATAGTGTATGCAGACTTGAGTTGATTTTAAAGGGAGAACTTTATAGTGAATTATAGCAATTTATCCAAATATCTACATATAAGCAGCAAATACTATTCTATTAACTGAGCGTTCATCCCATTTATTTGAAGGAAAAATGCAGTATTTCCTTTTTCTTATTCAGCCTTTGAGGCAATGAGAGCTGCCATTCTATAATTTTGCCAATTACATAGTCATTTGCAGAGGTGCTTTTATACCGCTTAGAAGGAAGAAAGATGCACAATTGCCAAATTCTGTTCTCTTTGTACTAGAATGCCCATTTAGCTTTCCAGCCCAACCTTTACCTAAATTGTTCAAACCAATCATAAGGACTGTTAAGAATCTGCAAATCCTCATACAGGCATTATAAAGAAATAGACAACTAAAGAGACTATGAAAGTAAGTTGATATTAGTGGAATCTCCTAAGGGAAAAAAGAATCAGCTGGCAAGATGTTAAACTTTTTACAGGGGTGTTATAAATATCACTGAATGTCAGATTGCAGGTTCACCCACATCCCCAGGAGTAAAATACAGCTCTTTATCACATACAGGCTTAGATTACCCAGCCTCACCTCCTGCTGGAGAGAGAAAAGGTTTGGTCTTTCTAAAACAAAAGGTAAAAAGCCTGGAACCTTCAAGAAGCTGGAGAAGTCCACAAACCCTGAAGGAAAAGGTCATTTGTTTCAGAAAGTCTAACATGCATAGCCAGGAATTTGTGCTAGGTTTTTTATTTCTGTTTTCAACATTATGCCAAGTCTTATTTAATTCTCTATATACTGTACATTAAGGAGTTGAGTATATCATTTCAGCTTCATCCACATTACAGGCAATGTGAAAGAAGATACAACTTTTTCTTAGAATCTTCTTGTGTTCTGTAACATTATGAACTCTCTTCTATAATATTCTGGGTATACAGCTATACATTTGTAGCAGATCAGCCCTCTATCTTCTGTTCTTCTCTTGTCTCCACTATAATTTCTGAACTGCTATATACTGTGATCTGTTAAGCTCTGTAATTTATTTTCATTTCCACTGAATATTTGCATGTTTATAATCAAAGTTCTAAGGGGTGGGGGTAATTAAGTTTTTTTTAATAAGTTTGATGCTATATAGTCAGAAGGTAGCACATTAAAAAGCCAAAATAAAATGTTGAAATAATTTCAATCTCCTAAAAGGCAGCAGCAGGTGTGAGAACCTTTTTTTTTTTTTTTACACATTAGGATTAGGGGTGGACATCAGGTGAGGCCTCCTGAAAGATAAATGGTAGCAGCAGGAACTACCAGACTACAATCCCAAGGCAGAAGGCAGGATCAGTATGTAAGGTCCCAGAGGGCTGCTTGGAAAGGAGAGTGGGACCTCCTCCAACCTTTCATCCTGAGGGCCTTAGCAGTTCTTCACAGGGTTTTCAGACAAAAGTTTAGAAAGCTGCAGAGAACTAAAAAGGCAAAAGGAATAGCATTTCCCTTTCACAGATATGTCTTATTGGACAAAAAGAATGGGAAAAAGTGGAATTTCTCATATTGATTCCAAGTGACCACTTAAAACAGAAGACAGCTCTTTAATGCTTTCTGTTGTAGATTATTGTTCTTCACGTTTAAAAGTAAGGGAAATTTAAATACAGGTTTGGATAAATTCAGTCCAAGTCTCAAACTGAAATTCACAGCAAGGAATGAGTATGTGGACATATATTCTGAACAATCCATTAGGTACCAATACTGAATGTTACATACCAAAGTCACATAATAGCTTTTAACCATGCAGTCTCAGTTATTCTACTATTTATTGCTGATTATTCAAATGTAAGAAATCAATAGCTCCACTGATTGTATCATATCAGCACAACCATTCACTATAGATGATAATTATTTTTTATTGCTAGCAACACTCAGAAATGGGAACGAACCCAAAAAATAAGGCACTGTCATTCTAATTCCCCTTAGAAATATTCAAACACTGTGAAAAGTAAAGCAGTTGGGTCATTTCCTTGATAAAAAAAAATCTGACTGATGAATTCTAAACAATGTCACAGTTCTTTTGGCGAGTCAATCAAACGGTTGTGTAAAATAACATTAATTACTGATTCCCAAAGACAAATTATTTCTAATTCATTTCTCACTGGCCACAAAATAATGAACAAAGAGTAGTGTGCATTTTAGAGTGTCACAGAGCTAGTTAATCAGAGCAGTTTGCTATTTCTTTTGCCTTGTTTGCCTGAATTGAAAAAGAACCCTTAAATCCAAACTACTATTATAAATCAGACTATGTTTTCAAGCTAATTAGTACCAAGGGCAGGAGAAGCAAGCCACATGAAGTCACAGTAAACAGTAATGGCCTGGAGTGGAACATAATGAAAGTCAGCTTGATCAAACAAAAGGTCTATTAAATACAACATCCTGCAAAGGCATGGAGATAATAGCTTTTTCCTAGTGTTACCATATACAGATTGGGTTAGAAGAGTTTTACTCCTAATTACAAGACTTCAAACTCTGTTATAACATTTTGAAGAGGTTCTGTTGTTCTTCACTGGTGAAACATCCTTGATGTAGTCACTGAGCACAGCAATACAAGGAAGACTACTAATTGCATGTCCAACATTGCATGTAGATGTGGGAATAGGTTGAGAAGTTTTGGTAGACCTAACCATACTCTCTGAGTTTGATAGTTACATCAAAGGAAAAAACAGTAACAATGAAAATCTGTGAAGTGGTTGTGCAGTAGGTAAAATAACTACCCTTGAATCGAATACGTTCAGATATAAGCTTTCATGTATTCCTGCAAATGGAAATTATGTCATTTTGGTTTCCAAAAACACTGATCAGAAAATAAATGGTTAATTTAGCCCATATCATCTTCTATACACTGTCTATAGAAAAGGAAACTACACAAAGGCCATTCTCAGAGGCACATGAGGCTTTAAATCTAAGTATATAATTTAATATTTAATAAAGATTTGATTTAATTGAATTTAGTTTAATAAAGGAAGTAAGATCTGAATTGATTGTTCACCTGATTACTGTTCAAATTAGTCAAGAATCTGCTTATCAATCTTTGACAGACCCTATTAACTTTTAAAAGTTTAGTGACATTTTCATATAGTACTTTAAATGCTCAGCAAACAAAAATAATGCCACCATGTAGAATTAAGGCTCCTTCAAACCTCATGGACTAAAGCTGGTAACAGCTTGTATGTATCCAATTCCTTCACTGCTTCCTAAGAGTTTGCTAGTCCTAGCAACTTTAATTAGTTTGTGCATCTGTAGCAATTCTACATCAGAATTACTAATCTTCAAGTGAATTCACATTTATATCTTATGCATTAACAAGCTGATTTCTTAAATAAGTTACTCATAAAAACATACTGAGCTTACCTAAACTTTATAGTTTATTATATTAAACACAGAGAAAGAGAGAGATCAGATACTTCAAAACACTGCTTATCAACAAATAATACATTGTAATACAGTATTGTGCTTAACATTTATTTTATTTGTTGGATTCCTAAGTCCACCTAAGCATTACCTGACATGTCACAATTTGTTGTACTAATGATTAACCTGTGGTGTTATCTGTATGGATGAACAAGAAAGTCTGATTTCTTTTTAAATGAGAAACTTAGAGAATCAGAAGAGCATTTCTCGAGATAGAATCTGCAACCCTGCAGAACACTGCAGGAACATCTGTGGAAGGGGGCTGGTAAAAAAAGTTAAGATGATGGCCACAACTATGCAAATCAAAGTCCTAGTTCTTTTGTATATGTGTCGACATCACACACCTACAGAAAAGGGATTGTGCAGTCATGAACACCAACTTAACTTTTTCAAACCATTCCACCACCCCGCTTCCACACAGATATACTTGGAATTGTGTTAGTCTCTGCAGTGTAGCCAGTAGTAAAGGGCTGTGGGATTTGTAGCTCAAAATATCTGAAGGGCAACAAACTGCTTGCAACTTCAATAAAGCCTTGGAGTTGTCCCTCCTCCCTCACTGAAGGAACATCTTATTATCTCATATAGTCAGTCTCATATTTATCTGAACCTAATACTACTCTGAACCTATTCTTTGTGGAAATCGATCAGGGACTTAAATAAATGCTGCATTCAAATACATAATGTCTCACCTGGAAGCAGAAGCAGTGAGACATGCATGCAAAATGTTTGCTAGATTCTTCATATTACGCCATTTTTGAATAATTATGAAAGTGCACAAGAAACCTAGAATGCATTATTATAACAGCCCAGCGATTCCATTTTTCACTAGGCTATATTGTCTCAAATGTATACAAATACAAATACAATACAAAATACTTTAATGACCAAGTATAAAATATATACAAGGAATTTGTCTTTGGTGACGAACAGCAAGATCAACAGTGCATTTGGATAGCAACAGAAAAATAATAACAACACTACACAGTAAAATAACTTTTTCAA